TAAATGACCTGTTTCCAGACAAAAGTCTGATGTAGCCCGCCAGATTTTTCTAGAAAAAAAACAATACAAAAGTGATGAAATGTTTTTATTAGTGAGTTATAAAATGCTCTGTAAAATATATGTACGGATCCCTCAATTATAAATATTGTTCATAAATAGTGAGCCGTGGTGGGTGACATTTTGCATCTGATCTGTAAATATATGTAGGATCCCTCATTATTAATTATTGTTCATAATATGAGCGTGGTGGGTGACATTTTGCATCTTGACAAAACCCCAGTGTAACTACAACAGTAGGTGTTTGCTTTTGCCCCATGGTCCACCATAAAGGGTCAGGTTTGGGCCTTCTTGGGTAAAAGTTTGAGCACCCCTGTTCTAGTTGCTATAACTTCCAGGGAAACAGTGGAAATACCAGCTGACAAAGTGGACAAACTAGCTAGCTAGCCACTCTTTTGATTACTGTTTAAAAAGTTTGTATTGCTCGCTCATGATGGAGTATTCAGTGCTGTTTTCTAGGCGTTTCTAGGCGCTTTGTGAGGACAGCCATAGAGGCTGTCCTCACAAAGCACAAACATACAGGTGAAACACACAATCCAGGAAAACTGTGGGACAAGATGAGGGGTAAAATGAGGGTAAATGTGGCATTTTCCAAGATTGAGAGAGAAGTCAGTCCCATATGTGTTCTACTAGACAGGTAACGTAACTTGTGATTTAAATAGTATTATAAAAGTGGTTGCACAACAGAGACTCTTCACAAATAAATAGTTACACATGGCCTAAAATACATACAGTATTATACTTAGTCACAGTAGAAAAATGTCACACAGAGTTTATTAACAAACATTTTATTAAATAGTGTTTATACTGCGTGTGTGTTCATCTTCTTTTGTGTAATCGTGTGAAAACCACCTGAGGACTATGGAAGTGAAAGATAGTATTTGGACACTTGGCATGGATCTTAAAATATTGACACAGCTTTTTTAAAAGAATTCTTTGTTACAGCAAGAGGACAAACTTTGTTTCAGAAGAGGATGAATGCAGCAGGACAAAACATGCTGACAAAAAGCTGCGTGGGGCTGCAGCCGCAATGTCTACTAGAATGTGCCAAACTTTAATGGATAATTAGGTCAAACAGTTGAGTTCATATTGTTCATCACAATTAACCTAAAAGGTGGTCTGTGGCTAAAACATACTGGTGGAGGATAGGAGTTGAGGACATAATACATATATAGCTTTTCTGTAGGTTTTTGATAAGTTTATCTTTTTATGAACGTTTTATTGTAAGGGAGCACGATAGTTGATCTATACACTTTTTTCCATCTGATTGCAGAGAACATCAAGTCTCTCCTGTAATGGACTGAACATATTAACTCTTATTGTGATTGTCCTCTAGCTGAAGACCAGAAATACGATGCTTTTCAAAATGTAAACGTTCACTGGGCAAAACAAGAAAACTACTGCTTGTTTCAACCCGATGCTGATATTTCTTTTTTGTTTGTTTGTTTGTTTGTTTGTTTGTTTACTTTTAATTAGGTGAAGACTTCCAGTACAGCTGCACAAACCTCTACCTCAGTGGTTTCAGGTTCCAGCATGGACAGTGTGTTGCGATGGGCCTCTGCGTTAACCTCAGTAAGTGTGGCGTAGTAAAGTTATGTTCCTAATGTTTCTGTTTCGATTTCATGGGTTTGCACATGGTTAGACAGCTAGACTCACTACTTTCTGAACGTCGCACTTTTATTTTGAATCAGTACTGCTGACTTAACAACCATTGTTTTTACTCAAGGCTCCGAGGGCGTCATCACATGCTTCTTCCTTGGGTGTTCAAGTCACTGATGTGGATACTGCATCACTTTCTCCTTCGCTGTCAATTCCTGTAAGTGTAACGCATGACACCAGGGGCCACTACTGTGAACGCTTTCCAGACAAGTTGCTCACATAGTAACCTGTCTCTGTTTTCCCAGATTGCTTCAGGAGCTCAAAGCACATCACCCCAGTCCCCTCCCCCAGCTGAACTCAGTGAAAGTTTGAGCAGCGTTGCATGTGTGGATGGTGTGAATGAGAGTTTCCACCAAGAGACTGAATTAAACACAACAGCAACGTCAAAATCAGACGAGAACACAGAAAAGGACTTCAAAGACTCAAAGACTATTGTGAATGACAGCTGCTTGATGGAGCTGTTTAAGAAGTGTCAGACATGTGGGCAGCCAATAACAAGAAAGAAGGTGTCTCACTGCGGTGCACAGAAGAAGGTGAGGTGGAGCTGCCTCGGTGGACACAGGGGCATATGGATGTCTTCACCTCACCTTTGGGAGGCATTTCCTGAAATCCACCTTCTTGCTGCTCTTTCTGTTCTTTTTTCTGGAGGCACCTTTACACAATTTAAAAAGTGGGCCAAACGTCTGAACCTGAATTTCATGGGGCATAAAACTTTTTTTGAAATTCAAAAGGCATACCTCAGCCCAGAAATGAAACAGATGAACAGGACGGGGCAGGAAGGGGCCTTTGCAAAGGGGGTCCACCAACAACCTGGAGGCACTCTTCTTCACATTTCAGGTGATGGTTTGCTGTGATTCTCTGGTTTCAGTGTCAAATTTGCACTTTGTCTTGTTTTTTTGTTTTTAAAACAAACTGTGCAGGTTCAAGACTAAAGCTCTGTTTATTCACAAAGATAGAAATATGCTTACACTGTATATTGTTGTCCTGCACTAACTGTTCAGCTTAGTGAATCCACGCAAAAGAAAAGCAAAACCTTACAATGCCAGTTGTATCCTTTTGACATATATTCTTATTTACTATCACAAGTTTATGATGGAATTGTTACAACAGATTCATAGTGTTGTCACTACACTCGAGTACACACCTGAAATTATTAATAACACCACCGTATCAAAAAGACTACTACATAATGAGCCAGAAATTAAAATCTTAGTACTTACTACTGAATGTTTTCTTGGTTTTTACTTTGTAGATCCTCTGAAGAAAATTAAGGCCAAGTCGAGGAGAAGAGAGAAGGGAGTTCTGTCATCATGGTTAAGGTGAGGCAGCATGTACAGGCTATACACATCACAACCAAATCCATTTACTTTCAATGGAAAGCACTAATCAGCATGCCAAAGTGTTGTATAAAGTCATCTGTGGATCGAGAGAAAATGATGGAAATTCAATAAAGTTACTTGAGTAACATTAATCACTGAACCTGATGTTGGTTGGGAGACTACAGAAACACAAAGCTCATCTGGAACTGAAGTGGGCAGAGCTTCCCTATTAAATCTGGAGAAGCTAAGCTCATTGTTCAAATCCGTTAGCTTCTAGACTCTTGTTTTGTGTTTTGATAAATTTTGTTTATATAAAAATGGATTAGTGCTATCTTGAAATGTAACTGTTCAGTTTGATAAAAATGGATTACGGCTTTATTGGATGAACTTTTTAAGCACTGTTTTAGTTCAGTAAATCTAGTCTGTGACCTACATGGATTGTCTGCGATATTAATTATTATTATATTCATATTAATTTAATAAAGACTACTCTTTTTATTTATATCTATCATGCTTGTTATGTGCATTGGTGTCTTTTTTCTCAAATGTTCTACTATGTATCATCATTTGGTAGCACATAATAAAGTGGTTAAAAACATTAATAAAGGCAAAAATGTTGTCATTTTGAATATAATTGTGATACTGAGACTGTGACTCATTAAAAACCATTAAAAGCAAATTACTCATTGACCATAAAAAGACCCTGAAAAATTACTTATTGGTTGAAGGTTTCTTGGTGGAAAAGAATAAATAAAATCAACAGACCAACTAAGAATAATGAGCTTGAAAGCAGTAAAACAACAGTATGAAGCTACTGACCCGAACTGTCAAGTTGTGAATGGTTTAACGCTTAGTGGTTTTAACAGTTTGAAGCACAACTAGGGTTCCAAAAACATACATAAAAGATTTTCTATATCTATCTATGCATACACATCACTATTTTTGACAGCACTGACAGCCTGTATTTCACTTCCTCAAACAGTTGGTTTCATAGTATGTGTATATATATATTTATATATTTATATATATATATACTATATTTTCTGTCCAGCTGTCTCAGTCTAATGCACAGATTAAAATATCTGAAACTACTATAAGTATGACTGGCACAGTTGCTATAAATTATTAGATTAACAGTCTACCTCACCTGTAACGCAGGTATTTGTTAAGCTAAGGGAAAGTTAACATGTTTAACATTTCCAGGTGAGGTTTTTTTATCTAATGATAAGGTTTCTTTTTACAGTTATGAAAAGAGATCCTCAATATCGCTGACCTCTACTGGAACCTGTATGCAAGATCCTACTGCACTATCAAGTCTTGGACATGTATCGGCCTCCAGAAGGTAAGCAGTCGTAAACCTCGCCTTGTGTTTTGGCTGGACTGCAATAAATAAATATGAAAGTCTAACTCTCATATACAGAGTGAGTGATGAAGTTAAAGGTAGAATGAGTAGGATTTTCCTTAAAAAAAAACAAAACGGTATAGATTCAATACAAAAAGTACAAAAATAATCCCTCTCAATCATTCTGCCTCACTAGAAGAGTGCGTCTCTGCAGAGACTCTTCTTATTTTGTGGTGTTTGGGATGTTTCTGGGCATCAGCCATTGGGCAGTGGGTGTATAGCCCCCAGCCAATAACAGTGTGCAGGATGTGAGGGCGGGACTGTAACAAATTTTAGCAACCATGTGCAAGATCGTAAGGATCGTACTGAGGAAACAAACAACCATCAAGAGAAAGGGAGGTGACATTATCAGATACCTGGATAGTATTGAACCAGGAGTGTGGTCGTTACTTTCTCTCAGTCCTAGACCTCCACAGACAGAACAATTGGATGATCTGGGTTACTCTGTGGCTTTTTCATTGGATTGCGTTATATTTTACAGGCATTAATGTGTCAGCCAAGACAATTAATGTCCACATGTTGCAACAACTTTCATTTTTTATTGTATTTTTTAATTTCAATATGTGTCTGCAGAGGTAAACAGCATCAGCAATATGTTGAACATCAGAGTGAAACTACACATATGGCACCAGAGGTGGACCAGCTTCAGGACAGGTTAGTATTGATCTCTGCGAGAATGTAGGTTTCAGTGGGGTTATATGTCAATCAGAACAGTATTGATTATCCTAAGATACATTTTCACTCTGTCTTATTCAATATCCGCACTGTAATTTGTCACTTTCAGTTTTGATGAGATGGAGTTCACCATTGAAGAGGACGAATGCAGCAGTGTGAACAATAGACTGTAATTCTATACTATATTATACAGGATATATCTATGTTAATTTTTGCACTTGTGTGGCTGATTTCATTCTGGTTTTATTATCTTTTTATATAATAGATATGATTCGGATAATGATGTGAAAAATGTCCTACAAACAACGGAGCTGAGGGCTCCAGGAGTTGATGAGAACTGTGAGGAAGACGTCTACGTACCAATTATTCCTCAGAGGTACCTGTTTGTCTTTAATGTGGTTCATTTGCAAGAGTGGGGATCTTTTAATTTAAGTCAATCATTTGTAAATTGTATATATTGAATATAATATATTTAGACTACATCTGTATAGTGGAGTTATAAAGAATTTGTACTTGATTCTCAACTTTGACATGAAGGATCTACTTGTTTATATTTGCTCTTTTTAAACTGACCAGCAATAAACATTTAAAAACAAACCAAAAAGAATATTGGAATCCACAAAGACCAAAGTTGCAAAGAAAAACATTTAAATCCAGACAGAAATAGTGCTGAGCTTCCTCTCTTCCTATGTAGGGCAAGAGAGTCAGTCTGTTGTTTTCTGTCTCAGGTCCACATCATCTGAACTATTACTGGAATGTGAAGAAGAGGAGCTGGAGCCATGGCAGAAACACACTTCACATGTTCAGTTGAAAGTTGAGGATGATGTTGGAGAGTTGAGTATGTCACACCAAATTCTTAAAGAACATGTTGGTGTTGAGGATTTCAAACATCCAACTTTTATTCTCCTTAAAATTAAATGTTGAGTTGAAACATACCATTATTTATACATTTGACCTGCTACTGTTGGTTGAATATTGATAGGTTACCATAAGAATTAAACATATTAACAAAAGGTATTTTATAGATGGATTGAGCTAAACTTCTGCTGTTGCACTTATCTCACCTAAAATGAAAAGACAAAAGTTGGACATACTATAAGGACTTTTTTATCTGGTCACGAAAGTCTCAATTTAATCCTCTATTTGACTTACATCAACAAACAAGACCGTCAGTGAGAATGTATTCTTCCTTTTAATAATACCACCACTTTCCACCAGATTGGATTCGATAGTAAAGAAGACATTACCGCTATTGCCCACAGAGGCCGCCAGAGTCAACACAAAGTGAAAGTCCCTTGTAGCAGCTTTAACTTGAAACCTATTGAAGTGTCTGATTTTGTCCTTTCTGTTCATACAGGTATTGACCAAATAGATTATAAGCCGGAGCTTTCACTTCTTCAGAGAAATGCAGTGAGTACTTTTTACAACTTATGTGTAATAAATGACTTATTATGTTATATGATTTAACGTGGTTGATGTATTAGTTGTGTTTGTTGACTCAGTTTCTCCATTTTCCAGGGCTTCATTATGACTTCTCCTGAGTCAACAAGCAGTTCTGAGTTCATTGGCTCCTTCAGGACACATTGTCGTGCTAGGAATTCATTTACAATAGTACCAGGTAAAATTGAGAATAGCTCTGAGGAGACTGTAATTTAATGTCATCTTTTCAATGATTATATAATGGGCCATGTGTTTTTATGGTAATACCATTTTTGTAATATTGGATTAAATTTGTCTTAAGAGTTTGTGTGTTGTTTTTCAGCTGCTCAGCAGCAACTTTTCCAGAAAGTGGCTACGGCAACAATAAAACTTGAGCCCGATGATCAAATGAGCAACAACTCCATGTCCTGTGTCCAGATTCCTGCGTTATATGCAACATCATCTAACCAACTGCAGTCAGACCACTCACACACTCTCCCTGTACCTTTTTCTTTGCCTTGCTTTACTGTACTAAAACTTGAACCAACGAACCAATAATAGCCAAGAGAACACATGCTAACAGTTGGTAAGTTCAATTCAATTCAATTCAATTCAATTTTATTTGTATAGCGCCAATTCATAACAGAAGTTTATCTCAGGACACTTTTCAAATAGAGTCTAGAGCTGAACTCCTTTAAACATTCTACAGAGACCCAACAGTACAACATGAGCAAGACCTTGCGACGGGGGAAGGAAAACTGCCTTTTAACAGGCAGAAACTAGACAGATCCTTCGGCTCTAGGTGGTCATCTGCCTTGACCAGTTGGGGGGAAGAGAGAAAGAGAGAGAGAGAGAGAGAGAAACAGAGAGAGACAGTTAGTTCACATGTGCTCAGGTATAATAATAACACACAATTTGTCTGTCAGTTACATTCCACTTCAAAGGTACGGGTTTTATTTTAATATTATGTTTGGTAAAATAAATTCTTAAAGTGAAAAACATTTTCATGTGCTTCATTGTTGTATTATTTAAATGCATAATTTCTCTTTAATACATTATGATTTAGTGGGATCATGCACTGTTAAATTTGAAAGTCTTACTGTGAAGCAGCACTGAAGTGTTTAGTTTGCTGTTAAGGACTAACCACAGCTGTTGATCTAAATCAGTGGTTCCCAAACCCTCATACCCCCCATACATGTATCCTGATTGCAGTTTTAATCAACCAGTAACAATACTGGGTTAAATGTAAATAGAAATTCTCTTATTTTCTGAACAGATCTTGAGAACCTGAATCTTGACAGACTTGATCAAATCCACCACCCACAGTACAACTGTGTTTCAGAACATGCAGGACAATGTCAGTCTAGTATGTTTAGATTTGTGGCTCCTGTGTTTGCACATTACTGATGTACAGTGGCCACGTGGTGGAAACATATTTTTAAAGTCTTCATGCTTTAGATTGTGATGTGTAATCATATACAGATTATTTCTCCAATATACAAGTTGGAATAACAACATTTAGGCTGTGCAAAACTGATGCGACACAACAGATAAACATCAGCAACGGATGTCTTTAAACACAATCTTAGGCTAATGTTCGATACTGATGTTCAGCTGATATATCGGGGCATCTCTGTTCAAAAGTTGACCTGTAAGTGGTGTAATTATACGGCTACATGCACGTTGACCAAAAACTTTTCTGCACCATTATCTAACTCAGATTACTATCCCTCACACCCATAACTACTGATCTTCTTGAGTCTTGTTACCCACCTGCTACTAATAATGTGGTATAAACAACATGACAGTGTGGAAAATTACATGGGCTATGGTAATTTACCTATGTGGTGTTTTTTCTCTCTGTTTACTGGAAACCAAACCACAGAGACCTGACCTTGATGTGACCCTTGAGATGACGCATCCCTGTGCAAACAGCACAGATAGAGCCTGAATAAGCCCTGATGACAAATGTGATAAAGATTTAGGAGTTAAACATAGCCATCTCACTTACTCTTATCTTTAAATCAACATTTGCGCCAAGTAATAATTAAGCAATAGGCTTACCAATCAGACTATTATTTTCTCTTTATGAGAAATAAGCACCTTTACTTTAACGGGGGAAAAAGTTTACTGCAGGCTGGTGTGATTGTGTAGTTCATTGCATTTCCAGTGAATATACTGGAGGCGTGTCACTCAAAAGGAAATAACATTGTGGTAATTAAATTTAAATTTAAAAAAAAGTGTTAATCTAGAGGAAAAACCCACCGGAGAGACCAGGTAACACTACAAATACAAAAAGGAAGTGATGAAGAGAATGCGTCATTAAAAGATAGAGTTGTGACGTTCACGAACGAACCGAATCTATTGAACGGCTCTTTAACATGAACGATTCTTTTTACATCGCTGTCACGCACACATGATGCACACAAGCTCCTCCACTGAGAGGAGAGCCTGCACAACAAGGGCAGGAGCAGCAGAGTACATGAGGCTGCCAATTTAAAATGCAAATTTAGCTTGACATCATCTGAGTCAATATTTCAAAATAATTCAAACTTAGACATCCCACCGATATAATATATATTGTCTAAGTTTGAATGATTCGGATCCAAATCTTACCCTAACATTCCTCCCAGTGGTTATTCCCCAAATAAAATGGGTTTCCCTTAAAAAATAAATAAATGTAAAAATGAGCCAGTCTTTTGAACGGCTCTTTGAAAGATCCGACTCCCTTCAAAGAGCCGTAAACCCCATTTCCGTCAAAAGAAGAAGAAGAGAAGCGTCCGGTGTTCTGATTGGTCCAGACAGTCCAAGCACTTCCGCCGCCAGCAGCCAGCAGCTAGCGACACACTGGGGCTTTTTAATTTTCTCTCTCTCTGAGCGTGAATTCATAAACCCGCTGCTGTCCTCAGATTAAGGACTGAGCTGAAGTTGGTGTCTGTACACGGCCCTGCCTGACGCTCGGGGCTGGCTGTGAGAGAGGTAGGCTGAAACCTGAAAGCGTCTCTGTAAAGTCCTGAGTGCAGTCTTTGTCCCAACATCACCTCCCAGAGGATCCGACATGCTAACGGAGCCGAGCTAAAGTCTCAGTGCATGATCAATACGTTCATCGATAACGTTGGCTCTTGCGGTGTAAAGGCTGGATGAAGCGGAGATAAAAATGCGTTTGAGTCTTTCTTTGTGTGTCTTTTTACCCCGTTGCAGACTGCAGCGACCTTAGTGGAAGTCATAAACATTAGCTCGTTAGCATTAGCTCCCTTGCTGTTGAAAAGAACCGAGGAGCTAATAACTTAATATAACATAATATAACAAGTAAGTGTATTTGAACGTTTCCCTTTAAGAACAAGTGTTCATGCAAAGGGAAAATCTGTTGCTCAGAAAGAAAATGCACTGCAGCCAGTCCTTAAGTAACATCTGCACATTGGGCCTGAATAAGAAGATTGGTAGCAACAAATAATGTGCAAACCACTTTGCAAACGGTAACAGGGCTTGTGAGAAGAAATATTTGATTTTGCTTGATGCTTTTACCTTTTAAAATGTTCAACCACAAAAAACAATTCAGCTGCATATATCACTTCAGATATGATGATATGCAAGCCTCGGCTCAAGAAATGCAGGTTTTGCTGTAACCACTTTAGTACAGTGCATATAAATGCATCTTCAGATTTCATACAGTAATGTGATTTTCTCAGTAACCTGGTGTCTGCGTCCATTTAAAGGTAGTTATTGTGTCACTGGCTCATGTATTCACTGTTTAGCAAAACTGTCTAATCTAAGATGAACAATGCCAAAGCCCCTTTTTCACAGCAGACGTTACGAGATGTCGGAGAAGCACAGGTGTTACTAATAACATTCATTTTTGTGACAGTGAGCCAGCATGCACAATGCCAGGACCCTGAAACCAAAGTAACATTTAATTCAGACGGCGTCCATGTCATTCATTCATTCATTGAGTTGCAGTAGTGGTATTTAAAAATGTTCATGTCGACTGAGTGTTGTGTTTTTCTGTTCCAGTTCCACCATGTCTGAACTTTTTATGGAGTGTGTTGAGGAGGAGCTGGAGCCATGGCAGAAACAAGGTCCTGAAGTTCAATTGATAGATGACGATGATGATGAGCCCATCTTCGTTGGAGTGCTCTGTATGTCATACCACGTTTTAAAATATGTTTTAAACACCTTATTCATTTTGTTGATGTTTTAGGCTCCACAAGCGTAAAAAATTGCAACATCACAATATGACAGTTTAGAATCACCCTCTGCTGTTTCATATTTAGGGTTAAATAGTTTAAAATTAGCTCAGTATTGTTTGTTTATAATCAAATTATTTTTATTGTAGTTGTTTAAAAAAATATCTTTTTTGTTTTCTTGTCTTCCAACATGTTGCACATAATCTCTGTTAAGAGTTTAAGTTTTCTTACATGTTAAGACAAAATGTTTTTGTGCTTATTTTGGCCCTTTTGTGTGGTCCCACAGCTAATAACCAAAAGGATGGAAAGCCTAACCCTCCACCTCCTGTAAGGAACAGCGCAGGAAAACAAGAAATAAAGCGCCCTGCTCCTCAGCCGGTCATTGGCTCCTCACAGATAATGCTGCCATTGAGTATCACTGGAAATGCAGTGAATACTGCAGCACCCAATCTGACAACAGTGACTCCGCAGCCTGTTATTGTCAATAACCAGGTATTGTTGGTATTGAAATAGGTTTTGCAAATAATGTGCAATTAGAACAAATGCATGTTTAGTCTTATTTGTGTCTCTCTTTTTTTTAACAGGGATTTATTGTTACTTCTCCACAATTAGCAAACAGCAGTGAGTTTATTGCCTCTCTGGGGTCCCAGTACCCCCCTGGGACTTCATTTACAATCGTACCAGGTAAACCTAAGTATGATTATACCTCTGAGGATTACATCTTTCCTCTCTCATCAGTGATTTTGTGTAATAATAAGCTTTTGTAGTTTTGATCTTACTCTGAAGAGTCTGTTCTGTCTTTCAGCTGGTCAGCAGCAGCTGTTTCAGCATGTCACTCCAGCCACAGTAATACCTGGTGCTGTACACAGGCCTCAGGTGCAACAAATCAGCAACAACATTGTGACGTTGTCTAACGTACAGACCCCCGCTCTGTATTCAGCGCAGCCCAACCGCACCAACTCACAATCTCTTCAGACCTTTTCTGTGCCTGTAAAGGTCAATAGCAATAACCGAGGTAATTCTTAATGTTTTAGTCTTATGTCACCAAACTTGAAAAACCATTATCTGTCTGTAACTAAAATGTAAATGTATTTTCTTCATACAGATCAAATCTTACTCAAACGAGGACTAGCAACACAGCAAATAGACAATGCAGGAAAAAGAGTAAAGCTTGATTTGGGTAAGTTTATATTACTAGAGGAATTTTATTGATGCTGTTTTGTAATATCATTACTGTAAACAAACATAATCTTGGTTCCTCTTGTGTTTTTAATAGCTTGCTAATTGTAACATCTAACTTTCTCTGTAGGGCCGACAAAGTTAGCAGTCCCAGTGGAAAACGGCATCTTCAAGAAGAAATGTCCAAAGTGTCAGGAAGAATTTGTTACGCCGGAGACCCTGAGGTGTCATATGATGGTGAGTAAAAATCTTATGGAAATTGTCCATCAGTGGAAATTAGCATGTGCTAGGTAAGTATCCACACAAAAAAAAAAAAACATTCGAAAACCAAATG